ACTTCAATGTGCCGTCCCACCATTAAATGACTCGTCACAGAAATAACTGTTAACGTAATCCATTTTGACATGAAATTCTGACATTCTAATTCTATGTAATTTTATGACATTCTTATACTTTATGATATAGATCAATTATGATTTCTAATAATATTTTGATAAAACATTTGGACTTAGCGCGTCAATTATATTCAATACAACCTCCCTCGAGTACCCGACACATTACGATCACAAATACTTGAACGTTAGAATAAGGGTATGATTATAGCTTTCTACCTAATTAATACGATTTTTTTTTCTCTAATTATAAACTCCTATTTCTTTATATTACTGCATTTATTCAACTGGAAAGTGACTGCAATTTAGTTCTTAACGTTATGTAATATTGACATGTTTTTTCACTTTATATGTATTTAAAATAATCGTCAGTAACGGACACAACTACAATGTATTGTAATTTTTACATTCAAAATTGTAAGCCAGCATTTTTAGCCGAGAAACATGAGTTTTCAAGGCTTGAATCATAAAATGGCGGCACGAGGAATATTGTAAATAAAAAATGCGTTTAGATTTTAAGGTTACCATTACATCTATTTTGTATATTTCTCATAAATCATGATAGTATAAAATGAGGTCGCGTCGCTTCGATAGTAAAAATGACGGCATAATTGAGTATGTGCTAATTTTTTACGTCTAGTCAGTTAACGTTAGATAAGTGAGAACAGTAGAAAAAAAATTTTTGGCGGCAAATCTAAAAATAAATTTAGGCGTCTTCAATGTAACCGTAGTTGAAACAGGCTTCCTATAGTGACAGTTTCTTATAACCAATAATATTGTATTTAATTTTATATTCGCTTATATTAGACATTTATTCTCTAGTTAGTGATTATTCGAATACGATTCCAGTCGTGAAGCGCGGGAAATGCTTTATTTATTTAGTTTCAGGCTTCGTAAGTCGAAAATTCAACGAAACTTCAATCTTTATATTTTGTACTTGATTCCTTTAAGTATCGATAAGTGATAGCTTAATATACTTTTTATGTAATCACAGCGATTTAGATGCAGATATACAACGGACAAGCCAGATTGCTAAATGAATATATGAATAGTTGTAAGACGCGCAATGCGATGGTAATAAATGATATTTACCACAATATCTATTGTTTCATTTTACCTATTGCACACATACACGTTTTACGAGTTAAAATCGCGGCTGTACCATAACGAACTAAATTAAACCACTAACAAAAAGATGGACCTCATCATCATCTTTCTCCTTATCCTACTCCCATAGGATCGGCGCAACAGGTTTTTGTTCTCCAAATAACTATCATACGTCATCTCAGTCATCACTGCTTTTATGATGTCGATAGTACATATTAGGTCCATCTTTTTGAAAAAAGATGGTACTTAGTACCTCGCACAAAAAATACTTCTCCAGAACAAAATTATAACAATATGGTGGGTGTACGATAACTTTTTTTTATTTTTTTCTTTTATCATGAAAAATGAAAGGCACTTTCGTCCCTAAGTAATTTTAATAATGCACACACTTAAACAAGTAATTTCCGAGAAATAAAACTATCGTGTATTGCTTACTTTTGTTTACAATTAAATCCAAATAAAAATAATCATCTTAATATAATCTAGTAAAATTAGCAATAAATGAAATCGGTTGTAAAATTATTATATATCAGAAACGTCTGTCTGCTTGTATTGTTTTGGCCCCTGAATGTGTTATAAAAAAATCAAGCATTTCAAAATAAAAGTAGTTTACTGATATTTTTGGTAACTTAAAATCGCCAGTTTTCCAAAACGGCCCACGGAAATTGTCTGGCAGCATGCATTTAGTCATTCTTACAATTGTTTTCAACACATATATGAAAATAAGTGAACTTAGGTGTATTTTTACCAACTTTAGTAACCAAGTACTGTTGAGTTCTATCATCTTCCTTATCCTATTCCCGTAGTGGCGCAACAGGTTTTTGTCCTCCACAAAACTCGTATCATACCTCATCTGTCATCACTCTCTTTGACCATGTCACCTTTCACGCAATCTGGATAGATTTCTCTTTCTAGGTCTACCTACAAATGAATTCTATATAAACGTATAACAATAAAGCTTGTAAATTTAAAAGTTTCAGCTCTGGGAGCTCAGTTTATAAGTTCAAACCACATTGTTTTTAAGTCCACGGTGAGGGGTAAAGGGTTTAAATAAAAAGCAACAATTCGAATTAAGATCGTTTATTATGCCAATTATGGTCCAATACAAGTAACTCTGATTTCGAATGTCAATTCTACATTAAACCAAAAACATGCATACGTTATAGATATCATTGTTATAGCATATCAACTATGAAAAAACCTATGTCCCTTATATTTATGGCTCTCATATATAACATACAAAATATTAACAAAACTATAATTACTGAATTCATGGAGGCATGCAGAGGTAGATCGGTATATCGCAGCGCCGCGCGGCCGGGGGTTGGCAGTGTCGGTCCTGTCAACAATGCTTAACCTACGTGTAAACAGATATATAAAACTCTACGTCATCTTAATCAGTAACAAATGTGTGTTGTATATATTATAAAAAGGTATATATAAAATATGGCGTCCCCCGCGCCCGAACCGCGGCGCCGTTTCCTTACAAGCAACAGATCCTATCTTACAGAAAGAAAAACAAAATCCCTGATATTATCAAAGTTATGTAAGAACAGCAAATTTCTATTTACAATTATAAGCATTGCGCAGAAAAACATTGACTCTTATAGTATTACGATTCGACAAAAACATCGAGATAAAATAAAACGCGCCCCAGTCGCCAGCGCCATCTAGCGGTCTACAAGTATGCAATGTATAGACTATTGTAATGGTAGTTTAACATATAAAAACATTATTTAATTAAAAATCGTATAAAACATTAAATATAACATCATAATATTGATCAACTACAAATAGATATTTAAAATGGATAATTGAGTCTAAAAACGGACATGCACCTGTTATGTAAATAGTGGTAAAAAATAATTATATTACATATATAATTCTATTGCCTTACTATATCTCTCATCTCAGGAATTAGCATAGAAACAATCTAACACATGCTATCTGTATAAAATCTGGTCCTTGTATAAAATTGTAAACAAATATATCTTAACACTATTATTGATAGGAACTTTCTTATATTGATTGGCTTAGGGTATAACTGCTTAAAATACACTTATTTTATCAAATTGATATATATTCTAGTGGTGGGTGTTGGCGACATGTGGGCGACATGTAGGCGACAGGGGCGCGACAGGCTATGTACAGCGTTCACATCGAGACACGACAAACAATGACACTGGAACGCGAACGCCTACATAGATCTATTAATGCATTAGACACGCTAAATATTCATTTTTGAAAGAAATTTAGTACAACTACATACATGTATTTACGGCCGGGTTCACGTATTGTAACACACGACATCAAAATTTACTTAGACTATTACAGATAAATTTATTGATAGTTTTTTACAGCTAATGACTTTGCCCTCGCACTGACGCTTCACTACTTTATCTAACTACCAATAATATAAAGAGAAAAGAATTGGTTGTTTGTTTCCATTGAATAGGCTCACAAACTACTGAATCGATTTCAAAAATTCTTTCGCCTTTAAAAAACTACATTATCATAAACAAAAGGTATATCTTACATCAACGGGAAGGGGTGAATATGACAGAAAAGATGAGAAATACAATCTTTACCACCCAGACGTAAGTTGGGGCGAAGCGCTGATAGTAAACATAAAGATTTTATTTCCAATGGATAAACTTTTATTTACTTGTAATTGCAAGTTTTTTTTTAATTTTTTAAAACTCTCTAGATGTGGTTAGTGCGCGGGCAAAGGTCACGTGGCACGTAGAGCGAGTGCGCGTCATACTTAACACGAGACACAAAACAGCGACTAAACGAAGGAACCCGGCCTGAAGCTTAATTTAAGACAGATTTAGATGGGAACTAATTTGTACACGTGTCGGGTATTGGGGTAGTATTGTAGAACCGTCCGCTGAGGCTGATCTCTTACATATCGAGTTATCGTAAAACACTTCCGTAAAATAGAACCACAATACCCTGTGCTCGACTATAACCTAACACCTAAAAGCTAGGGACAAACAGGTCGCAAAAGTTACAAATATACGAATTTTCCACATCGATGTGTGTACATAAATAAAAACAAAGATACGTCAAATTATTACATAAATATAAAATTATCAATAAGTGTATAAAAAAGGGGATATTTAACGACCCGCGCCGCTCTTAGAGCTCGGGTCCCATTGCAACGCGCTGCTCACAGAGGAGGGTCAACAATCACTTGCGCACAGCGGTACTGCGCGAGGCGACAATACACACTGCCAATGCTCTATGGCACACCACGAAGTTAGAATAGGTTCACTCAATAAGCCAAGTACATTTTATTGACGCCTCTTGCGCTAACAAAACAACACAATATACACATTCATTTTGTTTCAAAGTGAAAAAAAAATAAATAAATCATATAACCTAAAAAAAACTGCAACGTTGAAGAGCTATCGTTAAACTGAAAATATCGTTGGATTGTTCCCTTTGCGACGGAAATTACATCGAAATGGTTTATTATGATTATAGAAGTTTTGAATAAGTACTATTACACAGAACAATGATAGCCCGCTGGGGCGAAGACTTATGAATCAACCAAATTTATACTAAAACTGTCGTCTGGAGCAAAATACACTGCGACATCGGCTCATTAACAGAATCGAGCGTTTCTTCCGTCGTAATAACACCAAATTACTATCAGTAAGTCTGATTTATGAAAATCGAAACGATTTATTACATTTCTGATTGCGTCTAAGCAATTTGGTGATACAAATAGATTCAAATTGATGCACACGTCTTATCTTTACGGGAGCTCCGTCGACAGTGTATTTTGTAGCTAAGCTAGCAACTGACAGTGACAGCGCGCCATACTCGCCATAGACTATCGTTTAGAAAACTACATATTTGTCTATGGGTCGATATGGCGCGTAATTTTTAGACGACCACATCGTGGTCCAAGCTGATACTCGTCGCGTGTTCGAAGGAGACTGTGTGTCTGCCTCCGGGCGACGAGCTGCATAATTTCCGTGCGACTTTCGTAAGCATGGCCGCCGCGCATGCATCGTATCAGTCAGACACGCATCTTCCCGCCTGTTTCAATGTTTCCGAGTGCGACGTGCGCCATACTGGCGTCACCTCAAAGCCCAATAATGTTATGTCGATAGCTACTTCATTTTGTATTTATATTGTTACCGATCATCTGACTTGTTACCGTTGTCTGCGACTTTCGACTTGCCGAATTAAGTTCATCGAACTTATAATACTTAACAGTCTTTGGATACGTTTATCACTAAGACCCCGCTTAAAACTTTGTAAATAATTTAATCTCTCGAAAATATATTTCGAAGTTTTTTTATCTTTTTCAAAAATTATTTTTATTTTCTCGTATTATCTTTATATTATAGCAACAGTTCAGATAGTGTGGTCTGCAACTGCGTTGTTCCAAAACTCGTCAAATCTGTTCGGGGTTCGATATGAATTTTCGAACGCATGCGGACGCCGCCGCGAATTCGCGAATGGCGTTTCGTTTTATCAAATGGTCGCGTGCGTGGCAATTATTTTAGTTCAAAAATAAACGAAGACCTTAAAGTTTAGAGCCAAGAAGTGAAAAGAACTACCCATCATTCATTTTTATTTAATTTCCCATTCATTGAATCACAAAGGGCAACTAAAAAAATTACCACGCACTAACAAAAACATGTCTGCGTGTAGGTATACCGCGACCCCGAGGCGGGGCGCGGCCGGCTGGTGATCCATTCATAAATAACGATATCTTTGTACTCACTCGTTAAGTTACACTCCCTACACTTAACATTACTAAATATACATAAAAATATCACAGCACTATCGATTCACTTACACTAAAAGCGCGCCGCTTTGCGACCGCCTCCGATTAAATCATAATAATAATAAAGGAATCGAAATAGAAATGCACTAGAGCGCCGGAGCGGAGCAGCTCGGGGCTGCATTCGAATCTCGTTGAATCTCAATAATGAGTCGAGTCGCTCGTAAAACAGCTTTGTTTCGTGTTCTGTAAATTATGTTTTCTAATTTTGATAGTACATCTGTGGTTAACTTTAATGTGGCCTATTCGTATGATAATCAAAATTTCAATGAGAATATTGTTAAAAAACGAGTACTAAAGAGTTTGCATTGACTATTTCAGAACACGCAAGTATTCAGTTGGGAGCATCAGTGATATGTTAAAATGAAGTGGTTCTTATCTCTTAAAAATGGAAATTACAACAATATTTTTTTTATAAATTCACTCGTAGTCAAAGTTAACTATTTTATATTATGAAATAAACCTTTTAAAGTGCGTAATCTCACATTTAAGAAACCACAGATGTTTGAAGCCTGAACATTTGTAATTTGGTTCTCGTACCAAAACTTCGTATATGGCATCAGCTACCGTAACTCCGGTTGTTAAACCGCAAGGCGTCTCCGAAACAAAGCAAAACTTTAAATGCAAATTACAATGTGCCGCAAAATAATCAAGTATTTACAAAGCCAATGTTCAACGAACAAAGTCTTAGCCTAAAGCAATACCTTTGAAAACAATTAGAGGTAACGGAACGTTTGAAACGAGAGTCAATCGAAGATTCCTTACGTCTGGGGATCTAGCACAAAAATTTGCTAGAAAGTATTCGTAACGTCACAGACAAAGTTTGTATGATATTTACGCCTGCTATGAGCGCTGCATAAATCTAATACATAAATTGTTGATGCGTTACGAACACTTTCTCGCTAATTGTCGTGCTAGGTTTCCTGGACACTTATGCCACAATAACGACCGAATACTGAAACGAATCTTAAACACTTCAGTTTGGAAGCGGCATTCACAATATAACAGACGTCAAAATTGTAATGGCAATTGTAAGGTAAAGCGTGGTCTTATAATTTAAGACGCTGTTACTTATTTAAATGTCGGTTCATTATTCTGCCGTAAGTCATTTAATGGTCACTTAGGCAGTACCTCAGTGTACACTATAGACTCCTTTAACGTCCAACTAACGACTTGAGTGTGGCTGTGTCCGTGACGTGGTCACTTTTAAAATTCTTTGAAATAGAAACGACATCTCGATTTCAACATTTCGGTCATAAAGAAGCCAAAAAATAGTGCTCTGAAAAACTGGTCAGTACCGGACTCACTCTCGTAAAATCCAATACAACCAGTCCAAACATAAAACAAACCATTTACCCCACGATTCATACACATGCCAAGAAAATTCATACAAGACACAGCGAGCGAGCCGCGCGGTCCACACGCCCGGCTCGGGTCGCTCCTAACGAGTAAGAGGAAAGGAAATCCTTAACTAAATGAGGTAGCAATATTATGAATATTACAAAGTTACACGTCTAATGTTTGGTGGGATATATGTTATAAATGTATATTATATCAACATTAAAATACTTCCTATGGGTTACTGAGGTACATCATCGTTCCTGTGAGGTAGCTGCGGGCGAGCGCCCGGGTACATACTATATAACTATAACTATGTAAACCGTTTCAAAATATATCTGTATTCATGAGGGACAGCGCGTTGTCGCCGTACGTGTACTCGTTGTACACTTTAGTGATGAGCGGCTCCCACTTGGCGGGCTCGTACTCCGCGGG